ACTGAACTGAACTGAACTGAACTCCACAACAGCAGCCTCGGTCTTTAGACCAGAGGTGCCCAAGCTTTTACCCTCCAAGGGCCAAAACTGCCATTTAACGTGAGCCACAAGCTAAAAGCTAACAGCTACTGACTGACTGACTGACTGGTGACGTATTGGAAAGAGCTAGAAAGGATCTGGAGGTGGTAGATTGAACCGCTGTCTGTGAATCCAAAAGTAAACGATGGAAGTTATAAAGTTATCAGAAGTTATTTATGTCCCTATTGGACACTGTGGATGTTTTATTTTGCTCTCCTTCTCCGCCTTTCTTTATTTCTCTCCATCTTTCATTTCTCTTCTATTTAAGAGCGATTTAGTAACGAGTGTTACTTTAATGAGTAAAATTACCAGACTGCCCCTTTACTGCCCCTTTAACACATTTATCGGAAGGTTTCGTACAGGTCATATTGAACATAATTTAAACCTTGTTGATTAACATGTAACACTTCCCACACCTGACAACACATACGGATCAATCACAAGGCTGTAATTCCTCCTCCCTCCTTCCTCTCCTCCGCTGTGTTAATTGCACTGAGGAGGAACTGTTGTTTTAAATATAGCAGCATTAATAAGGTTTGTTAATTACATTGTTAACGAGGTAGATGGAGGGTGATACTGCAGAGTGTGTGTGTGTGTGTGTGTGTGTGTGTGTGAGAGAGAGAGATGCTCTAATAGTTTCATCATCAGCTGACTTCCTCCTGTTTGCTTCCTCTTCCTGTCGATGCTGCTGACAGTCTGATTGTCTGGTGGAACTGACATTTTACCTCTTTTACTCATTACGTTTTTTGCATGTAATTGTTATAGAATTGCTTAAGAAAGTGCTTAAGTAGCTTTTATAACAACAATGAATTCAAGTCTATTAAAGGCTTGGTAGTTACATCATGAGTCCACAAACATCAGTAGAGAACTGTATGTTCATTAATATTGTAAATAACCCATTATGTTCTCAGAGCAGGACTGTAAAGTAGACACTGGTGGATAAAACATGATAAAATGCCCTCTAAGATATCCTTCCAGTGGATAAAACACAATAAAGTACCCTTTCAGTGGATAAAACTTTATAAAGTGCCCTTTAAGATAACCTTCCAGTGGAGAAAATCTGATGAAATGCCCTTCAAGGTGCTCTTCCAGTGAACAAAGCACAATAAAGTGCCCTCTAAGATACCCTTCCAGTGGATAAAACACAATAAAGTGCCCTCTAAGATACCCTTCCAGTGGATAAAACACAATAAAGTACCCTTCCAGCGGATAAAACAC